CTCTCTCTATATATATATATATATATATATATATATATGTATATATATATATATATATCCAAGAGATTTTAATGCTAGTTAGTGGTGAGTTAGTGCCCCTCTCCGTTTCCATTTTTTCCTCGGATTTTCATTTCCATGCTTTATCTGCCACTTCTAGATATTGGGAAATACCCATTAGGAAATGTTTCGTTTGGAAGACCCCTCAAACCTTTTTCTATTGGATTCTTGGGGCTATATGAAAAATTGGCCCAAAAGTACTTGAAAATTAACCCAATCAGAGAACACATGAAGACTTCCGTACATTTGGGGCAGCTGATTTGTGCGTAGCAGTCAATTACTCATCATCGTGGGGCCTCTATGGATGTGACCTATCTGCTCCATTCTCTCTTCCTCTTTATCTTGAGTTCCATAGAAAGATGCTTAAAATCTGTACTTGAAGCAGCATGCGGCTAAAGTTTACTTTCTGTAATTAGAATTTAAGGTTATCCGGACCTTATTATTATTCACAAAATAATATCGGACGAATATACAACCAATCACTGAAAGAAAACCGAAAAAAAGATGAAGATGAAATACATTTGTATATGAAATGCTAGGTTTCTTAGTATTCTTTAATCCGCCCGCATCCTCTCATTCACTGAAATTTCGTCGATTGGCAATGTTGAAGACTAAGGAATGTGGACTGCTAAAAAATCAGACTTATGCAGCAGTACATGCTCCATGCTTACTTCCGACATACTTCACCGCATCTCACTCAAGCTAAAATATATAATGCCTACTACAGAAGAGACCTCGATGGTCTTTTAGCTGAGTTAATAAGTTTAGAGGATATTCACCGTCAATCTTTCCTGATCTCTCAGTTGCGATCTTAAAGACAGTTAAAATGTAGTACTTTTCATTGACTATGGTTCATTAAACTTCTTAAGCTTTCAATTATTGTTTTCCACTTTTCTAGGCCCCATGCTCCGCAGGATATTTTACCTTACATCCTCCTGTTTCTCCTTGTTCGTCATCATCTTCCTCACCTTTTCACAACCTCACACCCGTTGCCGACTCATGCTCTAAGTCTGGTACCGAGGATAATCAACCTGATAGTCAGGATATCCATGCAAAGAATAATGTAATCAATGAATCCTTTTCATTGCCTCCAGACTACGTATTCATAATTAAAGTAAGTTTTCTGTCCCGTGTTTATTTTTGCTAGCATATTTAGAGCATTGAATAAAATAAGTACCATTATGTTACTTTAATTCCGTTGGGCTTATGGATTTTTTATCTCTAGGTGAAGCAAAATGTCACATTTTGCCTATTATTTCTTAAGAAGTTTAGAAAACAAGCAACAACAGGGTTATTTAGAATTAAATAAGTAAAAAGCTTATTTTCTCTTACAACAAGTTAGATCATTATATTGAAGATGCCACACAAAATAGTTTAAATCGAAGCCCGAGGAATTCGTTTTGGTGTCATTTTCCTTGTTATTAAATCATTTGCTGCCTCCGGGGTCGACTTATTTGGCATGCTTAACTTAAGATTGATCCGTAAAGAATGGAAGCTGTACATATAAGGCCGATATTTAGTAATATTATGTTTCCAACTGGATTTTTGCATTTTATTTCGCTTTTAAAGATTCAACTGCTCTTTTCCAGGTATTGATAATCATTGTCTTAATATGCCATTTTTTGTTCTACTAATTTTTTTTGCATATTGTATGTTTCTTACAATTTTAGAAGTTCATTTTTGAAATAAAGGATGACCCATTCGAATGTAAGCTAAGCGATGACTTTATGGTAAGCTGCTAATTTGACTATACATACATTTGACACTTTAAACAATCAAAATATCTATTTTACTCCTATGCCTTAAGCGGAATCCTTAGAAAGTGTTCAGCAAGACGCCTAATGAGTAATGATTAGGTCATACTACAACTCTTTATAATGGGCTAAACTATGCCGGATAGATTTCAGTGGCTTTTATTCTTCTAGCCTATATTGGAATTGCCATAGCCTCCTAAACTTTTCTCTGCTCATACTTGCTATATTAAATGATTTTATCGGATCGAAACTATATATATATAATCTAAAGCTGGAAATTACCATGATTATGCCATAGTAGTAGTCATGATCATTTCAAGCTTTAGATAGTGCACTTGCTACATTCCCAAACGTCTCGCTGAAATTGACTGTGAGCCTTGCCAATCTTAAAATCAAGCATAAAATCATCAAAAAGTCTGGCACAACTTAAGAAACGTCTGGGACTGTACCATGTCTATAGTCCCAGGTCGGTAACTATCATGGCTGTTATGTCAGACAATCTCGGACAAGGTATTTCTTCAAAATAACCTTGAATATTCCACAGAGTTACTAATTCGAATTCACGTCATTCATATTCAGCTAAGTGAGACTACAACCTAAATAGAGGCCACACGATATTGTTTCTTATGCATACAACTAGACCAATAAGATTATATTTTAATCCCATTTTAATATTTTGGGACATTATTGTCATTTAATTTTTCTCCCGTGCCTCTGATCTCTGATTAGATACATCCTCTAGAGCTATCCAGTATTGCATCTCCAGCATCTTTAAGGCTGATTATTAAATACAATGAAGTAAATGTCGGAATCTTGAAGTCCAAAAATGACAGTAAATTTGAGCCATCTAAATCGTACGAGACGGAACTAGTATCTGACTTTATATCGGTGATCCATTTGGCTAGAAAAATTATAGACTACATTCCTTCTCTTAAAATATTTTGGCAACTCAACGAACTTTTTAATTGTAATCTATTTATATGACCTTTATGTTTTTCCCATGTGTTTTTCAGGCAATTTGACACATTGGTAGGAAGACTTAGAGGAACATACCTAGTCCGGAGTCCATTGTATGCATCATCATTTCCAAAGTTGGATCGTGGACGTGGTACTTTCCTAGACGTTTCGCCGGCATCGTCAGTGAGTCTCGCCATTCGTAGCACCAAAGTACAGCTCTTCAAAGCGATTTGTATCTTGTATCATGTCAGCGGTCCGACTTGGGAAATGATTATGCATACAATGGACTTCGGACTAGATACGTTCCTCTAAGTCTTATTACCAAGAGAGAGACGGTTTAATATTAACGCAAAGGTGTTTAGCTTGCAATGTATCTGATTTTGGATAATTGCAAACAAAATAACCACTAAGCCTTATGTTTCGTTTATAAGTAGGTTTTTTGCGATTACATTCTACTTGCAATACTAATAGTACTCATTTTTACCTATGAAATGTTTTAAAATGTACACTTGCGAAAGGTCTTTAATGTCTGTCATTTTCCTACTCAAAAGTTAAGGTTTACGACTAAGCTTTGCGAGAATAATCTTTTCATTGTGGCGTTTTCCCTTTGTTGTTCTCTTGACTGGCAATCAGGTGCTGCTGGATGAATGCGTGGAACACGAGAAACGATTGGCTTCGATGGGGGCACAGATTGATCGTGTTAATCAAGAGGGGATGCGAGTTACGGGTAAATTGAGGATCAAATCTTCGTTTTAAGAAATCGGAACTATTTTTATCGCTTTATTTACTTACATCACGCTCGTTGCCTGGCCTTGCATTTAGCTTGCGCTCACTCATCGTTCTATAGATTCGACAACAGTTTTTGTTAGCTCTTAGTGGTTATTTCTATTTTGTCTGGAAGTGTTGCATAACTTTTGCGACAAAAGATTTGCGTGAACGGACAGACTACGCGAACATTTAGAACTTTACCCTTTGATAACCTTTTGCCATTCTTAAGTCGATCCTGCATATTTTAGAGTTCTCACAACCAAATCTTATTTTTAGGAAGAGTTTGGTTCGCATACCTTAGACTGAATCCTCTTTTAATGAGGTACATAATATAAGATACGGTTTTCGAATGATTTTTGTGACCACAACTGAATTATGAAAATATAGAAGTTGTTTAACCTGGTTTTCGCAAC